GTGCACTCCTGCCTTTCCTTATATAGGCTGGAGGGGGGCGGAGCTTGCGTGCTCCGCAGGTAGTAGTTGACGATTTTGGTGTCCAGCTTGTACTGGTGAGGGATGCCTTCATATGGTTTGGGGTCCAGATCCAGGATGGAGATGGAATACGTGAAACGAGGCTTCTCCAAATTCAACTGGTGTCTGAAAACAAAGCAAACAGAATGTAAAATGATTGTAAATGTCGAGGCAGATCAGTCAGCAGGTGATTTTAAAGAGCAAAAGCAAACCTACTCCTCATCTTCCTCGCAAGGAGCAAACGTGATCATGATTGAGCAGTCTTTGGCGGTCATTGCAACTCTATACTGATGAACCTGGAAAGTGACAAAATGAAATCAGAAATGAAAATCTGAGAGTTAACTCTTCCTAAATATTATTTATAATACTATTATTTTATGTATTATAATATAAAAAAATTATATATTAAATATATTTTAAAATATATTTGTTTTTACATAAGATATTTTTATAAGATTAAAAGATTGATTTTTTTTATTAATTTTTTTTTATTTCGAGATGAAATACAACCTGGGTATTTCTTATCATTAAATTCAAACCTAAAAGTTCTCGGCGTCACATGTTCGCGGTCTTACCTTCCCAACTGCATATTCTACAGAGCCATCATCTTCAGTAGGACAGTTTTTCACCGTGTCCATGAAACTCTCATTATAAGGCCCATCTATCTGCAGTCGGTTTCTGGAGATACAAACAGGTGTTAATTACACGTTTAAGTGATTTTAAGGATGTTTGTTCAAAGATCATGTGGCCTGCATGGAAATCACCTATGACCACATTGCACAGGACCACAATGTGACTGCCGTGCCTCATGACTAGACTGAAGTATATCCATTCACAAATGAGTCTTTTGCACCACCTAGTGTCTGTTAAGTCTTTCAAGGCACCATAATATAACTTAAACTTACTTAAAATAAATTGTACTATAATTTATAGCAACTCAAAACAAATTAAGATTTGCCAGCTATTCTGTATTTTTTAT